GGAGGAGGTGATATCTGAGCTGAATTTTGAAGGATAGGTAGGACTTAGCCAGCCAAAGAAGGGAGAAGGCCATTCCAGGTAGAAGGAAAGAATATTATGACTCCAAGAAAGTGTGTGTACATAGTTCAGTATGACTGACTGAAGTGGATGAGGTGAGGAGGAGGAGGTGGGAGTGGTAATAGATGAAGCAGACAGGTACCAGATCCTAAAGGGCCTGCGTCATGCCAAGTAAGCCTTCTTATTATGAAGCCAGAGGGGGAGTCTATTAGTTTCCTAGCATTGCTGTAACAAAAATACAACAAGTGGATAGTGTTAAAGAACAGAAAGTTATTTTCTCGCAGTTTAGGAGGCTAAAAGTTCAAATCAGGGTCTCTGGCTGTGTGGATTCTTCCTTGTCGGTAGTCTGGAAGTTGCTTGGTGATCTTCACATGGCATCTGTCTTAGTCATCTAGTGCTGCTATAACAGAAATGCCATAACTGGAGGGCTTTAACAAAGAGAAATTTATTCTCTCACAGTCTAGTAGGCTACAAGTCCAAATTCAGGGCATAAGCTCCAGGGGAGGGCTTTCTCTCTCTGTCGACTGTGGAGGAAGATCCTTGTCATCAATCTTCCCCTGGTCAAGGAACTTCTCATCGCAGGGACCCCAGGTCCAAAGGAAGTGCTCTGCTCCTGGCACTGCTTTCTTGGTGATGTGACATCCCACTGTCTCTCTGCTTGCCTCTCTCTTTTATATCTCAAAAGAGATTGACTTAAGACACTATCTAATCTTGTAGAGTTCATCAATATAACTGCCACTAATCCATCTTATTACATCGTAGTGATAGGATTTGCAACACACAGGGAAATCACATCAGATGACAAAATGGTAGACAATCACACAATACTGGGAATCTCCTAGCCAAGTTGACAGATGTTTTGAGGGGACGCAGTTCAATCCATGACAGCATCTGTTTTCCCCAGTGGATGCTCTCTTCTGAGTCTAATTGTCTCTTTTTATAGCTCAGAACTGATCAAGTTTGGGATGCACACTACACTGATACGGCCTCATTAACATGATCAAGAAAACCCTGTTCTCAAAGGGGATTACATCCATAGGTGTAGGGGTTACGATTCCAACACATAGTCTTGGAGGACACGATTCAATCATAACAGGGCTGCACAGCACAGCCCAGGTAGAGGCCTGTTCAGTTTCCTTACAGCAGCAGAATCCACAAGGCCAGGAGTGCCCCTACAATGACAGGCCCAGGCCCCACAGCTCCTAGAGGGGCCCAAGCCTGGCCGCCTCAGTGGGGATCAGCAGGACCACATAGCCAGGGCAGCAGATGAGGACTCCAAGCAGAGCTGTCAGTGGTTCTGCATCCTGAGGCAGACGAAGACAACAGTCTTGAAAACCCAATTTTAAGTCTCATGAAAGTTGAGTACAGCGGTTTTCAGGTGTGCTGTCACTCTTGGAAACTGCTCGTCTGGGGGCTTGCTCTCAGCACCCCCGTGGTCCTACGAGCACTGGGGCAGATTCCTGGCCGCGGCTGTTTCCTCTCACTCAGGGGGTGGCGGCAGGCCTCCCTCCAGGAGGAGCACAGCACCAAGTCTCCTGAGAAAGACAAGACAGAGTCGGACAGGCTGGCCAAGGGGAACTGCTCAGTATCTAAACTAGAGAGGGCTGTATCAGTGTCTCTAAGAGGAAGGGAGAGGGTGGGTTTTGAAAAGGCCCATTCAGCATTATATGTCTTTATGCTATTGATGGAGTCCACGGGCAGTGGAAACTCTGCTCGCTGCTAACTGAAAGGTTAGAGGTTCGAGTCCACCCAGAGGCACCTTGGAGAAAGGCCTGCAATCTACTTCTGAAAAATCAGCCACCAAGAACTCTATGGAGCACAGTTCTCCTCTGACATGGATGGGGTCGCCATGAGTCAGAATTGACTTGATGGCAACTGGTTTTTATGCTATTT